GAAGCGCGAAGGGGGTATGCAAGCAATATGCGGCAATTCTCATACCTCATCGCATAACTGAAATAACTGAAAGATGAAAGAAAAAAAAATAAACTTTCGAGTTGAAGTGCGAAGGTGGTATGCAAGCAATATGCGGCAATTCGCATACCCCATCGCATAACTGAAATAACTGAAAGATGAACGAAATAAAAAATAAATAGAAAATACACTTCGAGTAGAAGTGCAAATGGGGTATGCGAGCAATATGTGGCAATTCGCATACCCTCTCGCATAACTGAATGAAAGAAATACGAAAAAAACTTATTATGCACCAATTCTGGGATAATATGCGACGTTGGTATGTCGCAGAATAATTTTTTCGACTAATAGTCGCAGTTCATTCGTCTAACAAAAATATTTTTTTAATGGGCGACGGTCTGATATTGACCGAATCGTACATCGAATCTCCTCATATTCGTCACAGACCAGTCGCATACTTTAACTCATAATTTTCTCGCCCATGCTCATATCGGTCGTCTATCTATCGTATAGTTTTTTTCATATCTCTTCGTACTTTCTGGGGTGTAAAACTTAACTTTTTATTGGACGTTGTGAAAAACTTAGCAGGACTTCAAAATGGGGTGAAAATAGCTATTTACCCTAAATTAAAGGTGGTGATATGTTTAGTCAGAGAAAGATTGTATTATGTGACATTGTGTTTATCGTACCAAATACATATAAAAATGTGAAGATATATTTATACTAAATGTGACGATATATTTATACTGTCACTTTAAAGAAGTTTAGTGTGACAAAATTTTAGTCATAATAGGCCATTTTATGCCACAATATTTGACCATACGTTGTGTCACGAAAGATAGCTTTTAATAACCAATTGAAAATTATCACAAAAAATCATAAAAATACTATTGTAATTAGCCAATAAATTAGATAATGACATAATATATTCGGTGAGATAAAAATAAATGAGTATATATAGAGGGTGCATTTGTTAGGCTTGATAGTGGGTGATATCCCCTCATTTCATACTATTTCCTTCTTATTATTATGTTTGGTTCAAACATGAAAAGCCCATGAAAAAGGTAATGGCCCGACATTTAATCAAGCAATCTCATGATACCATATCCCACCTGGGAGGTGGGATGTGTAATCCATCATTTCATCTCTATTTTTGATTTAAAAATTTACTAAATAACATTCATTTCTTCTCCTCTTTTCGCGAACATAAATGTGTCAGCACCAAAATAACCCAACCCCACTTTTCTTCTTCATCTTCATCTTCTTCTTCTTTTTTTTTTTTATTTATTTGTAAAGCAACAATACTTTGGAGCAACATCTTTTGTAAAGAAAGCAACAGTCTTTTTTTAATTCCGTGAAGCAACATAGAAATATTTTTTATTTCCCCAAATTTTCAATCTGAAAGGAAAATTGCAATGAAAAATTGAAAGGGAATGTATATTATGGTTGAAGTTTGGTGGCTGAGCAGAAATTAATTGGTGTAGGGAGGGGTGAAGGATTGGGGCTAAAGTTGGGTGGCCTTGCAATTTTCACAAGAAATTTAGGGTAAGGCGGGGTTGGGGATTGGGGCAGGGGTTGAGGAAATTGGGCTTGGGTTGGGTGGATTTTCATAGTGAAAGCTGGCGGCGGGGAAGGTCGATGGCAGAATGGTCGGCGACAAAGGTGCGATGAAGATGATGATAAAGAATAATGCAATGAAACGATAATTATTTTATTAGGTTGAGGGCAATTTGAAAATTGATTTTGAATGAAGGGTATAAAAGTAGTTTCACCCTAAAAAAGTATAAGTGTCAAACATAAACCAAACAAGTTAATGGAATGATTGATTTGATGGATAGCCTTTGATGTTATCTAGAATATTATATCATGCACAATCACCCTTTAGCAACCAAACTCACCCAGAAGGAAATATATGAAATATTCATAATTGAAAACAAAAACAATAGTACTTGGAATCTTAAGTCAAAACACACTAACTAAACACTTAAGAAACAATCTTCAAATTCATAGGTTTATTTTCTAGTTTTGCTGAAAAGTCTTGGTAAATCCATCAACATCCATTCACAAAAGAGAGCAATCACCTGTAAATATAAAACATTTGAATTAGCATATATATTTGCATTTATCGAAGCATATTTTCACAAAATAAAAAACGAGCTCCATTATTTACATCCAATTGTTTACCTCAAATACTTTCTTTGGAAACCATGAATGCCTTAAGCTTTTCAATATATGCACCTTGTTGGCTCAATAAGTTCTTCAAGCCACTAAATTCTTCCTTGAGCTCACTCACTTGTGTGATTCTCAAGCTTTTAGTTTTTCTCGAGATTCCTGAAGCTCCTTTTCCTTTTGAATGTTTTGGTTGGCTGGAGCAAAAATGCCTTTATTTAACTGATTTGTCTGATAACCAAGTCCTTCATATAAGTAGATATTGGACCAAGCACCTCGTGAACTATTTCTTGATTCATCTTATCAGCTCCTTCCGCTATATATTTTCATGCCTCGATATCATCAACTCCTGATGGATTAAAAATACTGTAACGCCCCATTTTGATTTTAAAGAAATTCTTAAACTTTCAAAAATCTGTAAAACAACTTTCTAATTTATTTTCGAAAATATGGGCATTATTCGAAACACTGACATAGTCTAAGTCTTATCTGAACCCACGGGGATTCATTACCTGATTTTCACAAGGTTTTCATTAACCTGATTCACGCCAAATCACATAATACTTGTTGACATCATTTTCAGTAAACTGAATTAAGCGACGCTGACCACTTGATTATGTTCAGTAGAAGGATAATCGAAGTCGCATAAAGTAGGTGTTGCCTTTACGGATCTCAAGGTTCTGGCGCTAATTTCAAGACAATCACTTGTCAGGTAAAAATTCATCAAGAACCGACATCATCGTCGATTAACCGATACCTCATGTCGGTTATGACATGTCGGTTACTACATGTCGGATACGACATATCGGTTATAACTGCTCGAACCGATATCTATGACTCACTAGACCGACACCACAAGGCGGTGCCAACTCAGCACAACTCATCATTACACCTGGCAAAGTGGCACGTTATTAAGATGAATGGCAATTAGCCGCCGTTGACTATTTTTGTGTAATGATTACATATTAGATAAATGTTGTAAATAAATATAAAAGGAAAAAACAATTCTCCAAGCCAGTGGAGAGAGACACGCATACAATAATATTCAAGAAAAATTCTATCTCCTTTCATCGTTCATACAAGCCTTTATTGATTTATCTTAAGTTTACTACAAATCCCTGTCGATTATATAGTTGTTAATTCCCGTTTGACAACAGTTTGGCGCTAGAGGAAGGGGCTATCACGTTTTGAAGTTAACTTTCGCTGTTAAAGCCATTTTCACATTCGAAGCCATTATGTCACTGTCTGGTCGAGACCACATAACTCATCCTGGCCAGAGCCAATCGACTAACCATTCTCCGCGGCGTGTAACACCACCTCCTCCGGTCACGACCATCACGAATTTTCTTCAAAACCCAGAGTTTATTCAAGGTTTAACCTCGTTGATAGCTTGAGCCATGCCCAGAAACTCGAATACGGTACCATTATCGATGCCGTTAACCACTAATCCGACAGAACATCTAACCCACACTCATCATGACCCTGAAACGCATGCAGCAACATCGCATGCTACGTCGCAACCTCACCATACTTCTCCACGTCGAGAAGAGCTGACTCGTGTAACTGCTAACCCAATAACGAACAATCAAGCCCCGGAGGAGCCCCCTGTGCAGGAAATGACTGCTGAAAGCCACTCTGCTCATCACCAAAGAATTTCGCCACGTCCTAGACCCGTTTCATCAGCGCCTCACGCTCGTGAAGATTTATGGCGCCAAATTGAACGGAATCGTCTTTCAAGACATAGCGCGGAGGAAATTGAAACTCTTCGTAAACGCTTGGCTGAACTTGAGACTCGACAGAAGTCGCAGGAAGACTCTCCCCGACATGTCACTCGGGAAATGTCATTATTGAAGCAGATTCCCCTTTAGCTCCGGAACTTACCGCAGAGGCACTTCCAGCTAAGGTAAAAATTCCACAAATTGGCATGTATGATGGGACGTCGGATCCGAATGCACACTTGGGCCATTATACATCATGGATGGATTTGCATGGTGCTTCAGATGCTCTGAGATGTCGGATGTTTTCGCTTACACTGGGACCACGAGCACAAAAATGGTACTATACTCTCCCACCTCATTCAATTTAGAAATGGCAACAGTTACGTGCAGCCTTCCGATCGCACTTTATCGGTGCTCAAATTTGTCTCATTCCGAAAAAATCAATTACCAACATTGTGAAAAAGGACGACGAGACTGTTAAAGACTACGTGTCTCGGTTCAACGACCGAATTCAGAACATGGAGCCTTGTCACCCTGAAACGTTGTTAGTAACTGCCATTGCTGGATTGAAGCCTAACTCGATGTTTCGCTAGACCTTGTGCCAAAATAAACCTGCTACATTTCAAGAATTTCTTGTGCGAGCTCAACAATTCATTATTGCCGAAGAATCGATGTCGGTTCCCAGTTTCGACTTCTCGGTGAAAGAAAGCAAGATTGAACCGGACGCCAAAAAGAAGAATAAGAAGAACTTTGGGAAAGCACAGTTTCGGAACTTCTCCAAAGGATATGAAAATACTCCAGAGTCACGGGCTGCTCGTGATCAGTATTCAGACAACGTTAGGACAGGCTATCAGGCCGTTTATTCTGCCGGAGCAGCCACCATATATGAAGAACTAAAAGGAAAAGGGATTATTCCAGACCCGAGGCCTGTGAGAACCCTGAAGACAAGCTAGACAAAACTCGGTACTGTGCATACCACAAGTCTCCGGGACATAATACCGATGAGTGTCTCGGTCTTTTGTCGGCACTCTTACGGTTAATTGGACAACCTCAGCTTCAAAAGTTTTGAAATTTTGATAACCGCCGGAAAGGAAGGCCCTTGGATCTTTCCGATGATGAAGATGATGATAACCGACCTGTGAACCAGAAAAGAGCTCGCGCAAACGATAAGGAGGTTTTAACGTTTTCTACTCATGTCGGAACCTCGACTGATAACTGCAGGGAGTCCAGGATACATGACGCCTTAGACTCTTCACACTGCATACCTCGAGTCAATTCCAATAACAAGCAGTTAGATACTTCTCGACGGAAAGTCAAAGCCAATGCCCGGGAGGCACAGAATGCCGAGAAACGAGTCATGAATGTTGATCTTCGAGATACCATCAACAAACGGAATTGTCCTATTACATTCAGTATCGAAGACGCCAATTTGTTTGCTCATCCTCATTCCGACGCTCTTATTATAACGACCCCGATTGGAGGGATTCCTGTTCATCGGATTTCGGTCGACACAGGAGCTTACTCAAGTATTTTGATGCTTCGCACGTTCAAAAAATTGGGTTTGGACCCGACGGACATTAGGCCTTGCAACGACCAAATTCAAGGTTTCAATGGA